TTTTGGAACACTTCAGAGAATGGCATCCTGTGAAACAGTTTCATACCTTTACACTCATCATTTTCATAAACATGTGTATTTTATACATGAGAATAGCCTATCTCATAGTGCGTCTAAGATCATTTGTCCTACGCTACATTTTGGTGCTCAAAGTTTAACTTGGGTGATTTGTTTGTCGAAATTCATATATTTCGAGCTGCAGACCGGGGTTATTGTGTGTAAAAATGTAAGCGAATGGTGTTGAAGTCCTCCTTTTTTGATTTGATTGAAGTTAACATATGTTTCTACGTGTATTTCATTTTCCTTCTGGTCTAGGAAGCATACTCCCACATTAGCTGCTGTCTGTTGTATAACATAGTAAATGTGCAAGGCGTAACTCCTCACTTTTTATGGTCAAACTGGGGAAAAATTCCCTAGAAACTTTTTATTCCTTAAATGCCTATTTGACAATGAACTTTCGAAGCTAGCTTCTGATTGGATTCTCTTTATTTGATTGGAATGATTTTTGCATATTGTGATACACCATTATCATACGCCCTTTCACTTGTTTGTAATTTAAATACTGCAATTTGTGAATCAATGAATGTCGTTAGGATGGCGTGTTCTTCGACATAATGACTAATATTTTCTATTTGGAACACAAACTTGGTACATTATTGCTGCCAAGAGATGCTCCGTCTTAAAATTTCGTGCATATGTAGACTTACGAATAAATTTCCAATTAATCCTGATGCTGTAAAATATCAAAGGCTGAAATGCTTAGCTACATGTTAGAAGACATCTCTCTTTATTATTTTCCTTCATGAATAATGGTCATTCTATAATGTCGTGCACATGCTGGCGTAAAAGCTGGCACTTGTACACATTTAGCATGCTGACACAAAAAGAAATGATATATATATATATATATATATATATTAGCATGCAAACAATAACGTATCACATTTTGATTTAACTGTGTTCATGATTGTTGGAGAACTTGGGAAACACTGAGTTTTCAAGTCATCCATTTGCTTTTCTCGAAAACTCGACATAAAGTAGTAGACTTTAAATAACTTCATGCATGCTACGCTACGATGAAAGATGTGTAGAATATTAAATGTCACATAAATATCAAGATTTATAGCTGTCTGTCTGTTTTCAACCGATTTGCAGCAGTTCAAGTCGCCCCACTCCATGTAGCACACAAAGCGAGAGAAGAAAGTAAAAGAAATGCAAACTACAGACAGTAGCTGCTGCTGCTGCTGGATTCAACATAGAACTTGGCACCGAAGTGCAGCAGTTCGAGTTGCCACGTTCCAACAGACAGTAGACAGGGATATGAGACAAAACGAATAGTTATAACGAAGAACAATATGGCTTTATTGGGTATTATAAATCACAAGGAGTGGATGCATCTGCGCCAGTCATTGAGAACGATTTCGAGGCATATCACCAATTGTCTCCAGCCTTCATTGGTTCCTACTAGCCCTAGGACCCCAACCAGGAAGTCTACATCTCCCAACGTGACTGGCTTGAACTAACTGTTGTGGATTTCATTGACTGACGAAGCCATGTTTTGGTTTGATCGTCACTAGATCTTTCCCAACCTGATCCATCCTATGTCAGCTGACTGACATTGATATAAGAATAAAACTTGGGCACTGTGGTAGAGTGTAATTCCATTATGGGTAAATTTTTATTTTGATAGAGTCTCACAGTGTTATACAGTAATATTTACTGATGACGTTTCGAGCACAAACTATTGCTCATAATCATATCATATCAGCTGACTGACATTGCCCATTGTCGAGGGAGGCGATGCCTAGGCATGCGTAACACATGTCCTAACCACCTCAATCGATGTAACTTCACAGTCTCGTCTATTGATTTCCCTCCTTACCTAGCACTCGACAGAGGCCTAACTAACCTCAATACTGCTCACCTTATTATGCCACTTCACACGGAGGAGATAGAACGCAGGCACCTATGATCAAAGACAGCTAGCTAGCCTTTCCATGTCTTCCACTCTCAATGACCAGGTCTCACAGCCATGAAGGAGCACGGAGCGGACTCCTGAGCAGTATACACGTCCCCCTGTCGACAGCCAGCCGGATATCACGTCTACTAAGCCAGAGATGACGTAAACTGGCATATGAGGGACGAGCCTTCTCTTTCCGCCATGCTGCGATTTCGTCAGCAAACAACCCACTGACATTGGTTGATGTGACTTCCCGAATAAGTGAAGTTGTCAACGTGCTCTACCGATTCACTCCCTATTTCTAAGCTGGGAGTCAATGTAATCCAGACTAGTCCACTCCTGTAGCATAATCTTTTATTTGACAGCACGAGCGAGTCGCATGCCAATCATTCGAAAATAGCTGCCTGTCAATGTCTTCAGAAGATTCTGTATTTCGTCAGCTTCTTCACCCAGGTGGGAGGACAACATCATCTGCATATTCTAAGTCAACGAGATTATTCCCTGATGGTAACAAGTCAATCCTTGAGTCACTGACGTCACTTAGGGTTAATTCTATCAGTACATCTATGATGAAACTAAACAAAAATTGGGACAGTGTACATCCCTGAAGGACACCGCTGGATGTCACCAGTTCAGTTCGCCGTAAGCCCTCACCTGGCTAACTGCATTAGTTCGAGTAGAGAGCCTTGATCAGTGCAATGTATTTTCTCGTCATTCCTTTTACAGCCAAACATTGCCATAGTACCTCTCAGTGGATGGAATCGAATGCCGCCTTTAGGTCAAGAAATATAACAATTGTTGGACGTCGGTAAGTCTGCCTACGTTGCAGAATCTGTCGAAGCGTGAAGATATGATCAATACACCCTCTTCCTGTCCATAGCCTGACTGGTTCTCTCGTGTTTGTTCCTCCCATGGACCACTTAGTCTACGCATGATTATTGAGCCTAGAAATTTAGATACCACCATATTAGTCAATCTAGTCCCCCTGTGTTTATCACAGGAAGACTTGTCTCCCTTCTTGTATATCGAGATAATCAATGACTTACACCAACCCGACGTGACTTCCTCTGATTCCCATACGCTTCTTAGTACCTCAGTTAACTCAGACAGTAAATTGTCTCCACCATCCTTAAACACCTCCGGAGTCATTCCATTAGGTCCTGCTGCTTTGCGCCGTCTCAGGCAAATGACAGCCTCAGTTAGGGACGGAGGACCTGTGTCTATACCCCATTCAGGGAGGTGTTAGACGTTCTGTAAGTTTAATGTCGCTGTTGGTCAATTAAGCTGCTCCTCAAAGTGTTCTCGCCAGCGTTCCAGTTGTCTATCCTGGGAGCTAACTATGGTGCCATTTTTCTCAGAGATTGTTTCACTTATCGCTTGCCTTTCACCACCTGTTTCCCTGATAAGCCTGAATAGTTGTCTGGTGTTGCCAATCGCCGATGCCTTTTCCATCTCTTTCGCTTTTATCGCCCACCACTGTTCACGGTCATTACGAAGGCTTCTTGTTAGTTTACGTTTGAGTAGCTTTCGCTTCTCATCATAGTCGGAGCTTACGAGAATCAGTCTTCTTGAGTCAATCAGTTCGGATGAGGTGGTAGAGATCCAATGGCTACAACTGACTCTTGTCATTAGGCTATCAACAGCTTTCACAGCTGTGTCTACAGCTAACTGTATGTTGTGCCAGCCAGGCTTCCTCAGGAGGAGTCCTACTGTCGACCTCAGATACACGTTTCGCTGTTTCTTCCTTAAATAGGGACTCAAAGTCTCGATTTAGTTGGGGACGTAACTGCTTCGCTGCCAGAAATTTCTTTTGTTCATTTAGTCGTAAGCATAAACGTGTGCGAACCAGGGCGTGATTGGAGTTTACGCACGTGTTCCAGAAGGAGCCACAGTCTTCTACTCACCCTCGCCAGTGATACCCTATCGCTATGTGGTCTATCTGAGTCCAGTATTGATTTGGTGATAGGGGTGGCGAGGTTACGCTGTGTCTCTCTTTGTGCCTGAAGTTGGTGCTGACTAGGAACAGATGATTATCTGAACAGAATTGTAGGAGACGATCATCGTTGTCGGTTCGTCGGCAGGGAACTCCATACGTGCCACCTACATACTTCACAGTCTCTACGACTTCCCTACTTGGGCATTGAAGTCGCCTGCTAAAACAACTAAATCTGCGAATTTTACTCTCTACAGCGAAACAATCAGTTTCAGGTAAAAGTCATCCTTCAGTTCATCCGAACTGCAGTCTGTTGGGGCGTAAGCGGAGACTACGAAAAGACAACGACGGATGACGCCGTCCCTCCTTCTCCTAACGGACCCATTTAGACGGACCGCATACATACGGCTATCTACTGGGATCCACTCAAGTAGGGACTTTTCCACCCTAGCACTCAATGCTATCCCTACACCTGCGAGTTCTCGCGAACTAGCTGAGGGGTCTCCTGACACCCTTAAAGTGAATTTTGTAGATTCATTTTGTTGGCCGGCTGGGGTTGGGTTAAGTGAATGACCACACTCGGGTCTTGTATGCGTGTCTCCGAAACACAACACACATCCATGGCTCGAGATGGCAGAGTTCCGGTGAGTGATGCCTGTTGTCCGATTTGGTAGAGGGTCCTAACGTTGAATGCTCCTATATAAAGTTGGCGGCGTGGCTTTAAGAGGTTATTTGGGATGTTCCTGTGGCTCATCGTTGTTTGTGGTCTCAGAATGAAGTGGAGATGACTCACTAGCATGCAGGATAGTACTGACTGTAGTAGGAAATAAGATGATGAGGGTAACGTGGATAAAAGAGAATGATGCTCAAGAGAGCTTTGTGTGCTTTAAGAAGTGTGTTGGCAGCTTTTAATTCCCGCCTTCTTCAGGTACCTGAAACAGAAAGAGTTAGTGTTGCGCGACAACAGAGCCCAGGAGACAAATCAAGTAGAGGGGTTGCATTGGTGGAAGGAAGGCAAGATAATAGAGATGAAGATGGATACAAAGATGAGTGAGGATTAGAGAGGTTTCGCGTGCACTTCGGATTGTGAGGGCGATTGTTACTTCCCGGCTGCCCACACCGTGGAAGTTGGTTGCGCGACCGCAGAGTCCAGGGGACAACTGCTTGAGGCCGGTCACAGACGGCCTGTTTTTGTTTGTTCTTTTCTATTTGGTGTGTCTCAGTAGCATATTTATCACTTCTGCCCTGTGACATGACAGCAGGAAGCGCGGTCGTTGTTAATCCGGGCCCCGACCGATCCGGCATGATATTTTGTGATTTTGTTTGAGTCATGGCATTGGATTGGGTAGCTGCTTTTTGTCTAACCGCTATCTAAACAACCTTTCTGGCATGGTAGGACCTACAGGAAATTAAGTTCCAGCCAGTGTAGCTCGTTGGGTCATTGCGATATGCAAGCCCGACCACCACGTCAAGGTAGCAGCTTTCGGTCGGGCAAAGAGGGAAAATCAATCGAAGAGCATATAAAGTTACATAGATTGAGATGGCTAGGTCACGTGATGCGCATGCCTAACCATCGCCTCCCCCGACGGGCATTACTAGCTTATATAGGTGCAGGTTGGAAAAGAGTAAGTGGTGGCCAAACAAAAACATGGCATCAATCCATGAAATCCCTGACAGTTAAGCTGAGTCAGGTAGGGAGATGAAGACTTCTGGGTTGGGGCCCTCGGGACTCTAAGAATCAATGGCTGGAGACAATAGGTGACATGGCTCAAAATCGTTGTCAATGGCTTACGCAGATGTATTCAGTCTCTGTAATCTTTCATATTCCTTTCCACCATTACTCATTCTGTTTCACTCTTATACTTGTCAAAACTCTATTGATTCTCTTCACTCATTTTCCTGTCTACCTTTGTGTGCTATTTGAAACGTGGCAACTCGAACTGCTGCACCTCGGTGCCAAGTTCTATGTTGAATCCAGCCAGCCAGCCAGGAGACAAATGCTTGAGGCTGGTCAGTCACACACGGCCTGTATGAACTGGTTTCTTCAATTGGTTTCGTATTGGTAAACTTACCGCTGGTTGCGGACGACCGTAGGGTAAGTCAGAATGTACAGTTTTTGGGGTTCACCTCTTCTAACCCTCGCCTCTCTCCAGAGTGGAGAGACAGCATAGCTGGCATGCTGGTCATCTGAGAGAAACACCTGACTGCTGTTACATCCCTGTTCCCCAGCAGTACGACTTCGCCCGTGCACTCCCACTATAGTGTAAAAACTGCTTACACTTCGCCGGTAACTACTTTTAGTCTAATCGCTATCCTAACAACCTTGGTGGCATGGTGGGACCTGCAGGAACAATACTTCCAGCCAGTGTAGCTTGTTGGGTCATTGCGACCACCACGTCAAGGTAGCATCTATCGATGGGGATTTATAGCTAAATTTGTTTCACATCACCTTCCATCTAATTTTCCATTTATAAGAATGTAAATATATTATTGACTTAAGATCATAATTAGTAACTGAAAAATACTCTCCGCAGCACGGTTTACGAATGTCTAGTGAAGAGTTACTTCTTTCTCTTCAAATTTTAACCACCGCATACTTCAATTTGCAGTAATAGCTAGACAGTTAGTTTTGTTAAAGGCAAAACGAGTACATTATTGTAGTAGTCTCCACTTTGATAATGGTCGCTTAACAAAACAGGCCAAGTTGGAGTTTACAAGTAGCTGAAGACTTCAAATAAGACAGTTATGAATTCAGGTCTTAGGTGTATACATTAACTTCTCATCATAATCCTAATGTTCTAATGCACTTTGCCATTCACTTTTATGTATATCTCCACAATTTCTTATTATGTTATTTTCATTGTCTTCCCTCGTATCACAGTCTACTTGGAGATATGAAGTATGACAATTTAAATTATTGTTTGGCAATGTTAGGACCTATTTCTATTTGTAATTTCTCAGTAATAAGATCACATATAAATATGCATATGCATGTATGTATGTGTATATATGCATGCATCTTACAATATTTGAAGATAATAAAATGAAACAAATTATAATCATTAAAAAACATTCCACTTTTCATCTCAAGATCTATCAGTGTGCACAAAACTAAGACTGTTCATGTTCTTAAACAGATTCACTTAGTGGTGTGTGCCATGTAGGCATTGCTTTGTTTGTAATAGTTTATTTAAATCAGTCCACGAGCAGTATTTATAATTTTTCTTTACTGTCTGAAGTTATCCGGCGTTTTTATAATTTCTCATAGTAATCTGTTGGGAGGTGCACAAACGTATGCTCTTTATTTTTAGACCAACTAATAACATAATTCGTTGTGTTTTAAATGCTGACTAGGCTTTCAAACTTCTTTGTGCAGATTACTCTGGAAAAACTGATGATGTAACTGCTTTCATGTCAGCAGTTGCACAGGATGCACAAGAACGGGCCCAGCGACGAGCTAGACAACGTGAGCAGGCAGACAAACTTAAAGATCGCGCCAACACATTTTTTAAGGCTGGCAATTGCAAAAAGGCTGTGGATTTGTATACAAAAGCGATCGATTTGGCAAAGGATTACGATATTCTGTATACAAACAGGGCCCAAGTAAGTTGGAAATGAGGTTTGAAAAGATATACGATGATGCCAAAGAATAAATTCTAAAGTTAATGACAGCTTATGATCTTCTGGGAAGTTTTGAAAGCGTTAGTTCGTTCCCATTAAATTCACGTTTGTATTTTCGAATAGCCGACAGTTTATTCAGTTAAATTCAGTTATGCAATGCATTTTGCATTCTTCAGTTTAGATCCACTTATGTCAAGCTAAACAGTATCACTGGTGTAGTGCCCAATTTACTAGTGTGTACGTTATTTCTGTGTTAGCTTGGAGTTAAAAATATTTTCTATAGATATTATTTGTAAAGCTTATTGTTCTTTTAAGTGAACAGTGAAACTGTTTGACCAATGGGTTTTTTTCTGATTTTAATTGATGAAGACATTACAGTTTTACTTTGACCCTGAGGATGTATTTGAATTCTTGTGATTTCTAATTCGGCTGGATAAACCAATCGCTTTCTCATGCTATTAATTCTAGTGCAGACTCTGTTTCCACTAAGCTACTGTAAACAGCAACCAAGCATTATTTTATTTATCCTTTGAATGCAGTGAAATGTGGACAAAATCTGCTCACATTACGACGTAGGAGAAAATAAAGCGTGTCATACTAGCTCACTATGAGTAATAATGTAAACGTGAAACGCTTAATTACTGAGAGAAATGAGCGACCTTATCCACTGGAATGCTGTTGTCTTCTCTATGTATAAATTTAAGTTGCCACAACTGATCACGTTTACAGGACGACAACTCTCCTATCATGATTCGAAAGTGAAGGGTCTTTAAAGGTGTGGAATATTAGTGTGTTTTTGCATTATTGTATCGCCAGTCAGCCATTTAGTTTCCAACCACCAACCATATATATTTTTAATTTTTAATCGAGACTATGTCTTGCTAGATTCTGTCAATTTGTCTCTTATTTTCACCTTAGTTCCTAATATCTTTCTTTTAATGCAGGCATACCTTCGACTCGGTCAACCTGATCTAGCATTGAAGGACTGTGATACTGCCTTGTTACTCTTTCCAGAAGCTCCACAGTTAAGTCCTACTGGAGAGCCTCTAAAAAATAATGACAATATTCCCTCGAATCCGCGTTTGGCAAAGGTCCACTTGCATCGAGGGAAAGCCTTGATGTCACTCAATCGACCGGCTGATGCACTTGCTGCTTATTCGCTTTCACGTTTTTACTCTCCATCTAAGAATGACAAGTGTGTTTCAGTAAAGCCGAATGAAGAAAAATGGCCTAATTATTTGGTAGAATATGTGGCTCAGGCTGAAGCTGCCCTTGCTGCTCAAAAAGCAGATGCAGAGGCAGAAGCTAATTTTGCCGAGTCAGCAATAGGATTCACTTCTGGTTTGAATGATAACCATGCAAACATTCCTTCAAGGTTAGTGCTTATTTAGTTTTGATATTTCCAAAGAAAACAGTCGAATTGTTTCATTATTTGTATTGTTTAAAATATATTGTACTGGATACTCTCTGACGCAGTGTATTTTGCATATTGCTTCATTATTAAAAGTTATGCGAACAGATATGATATGATTCAGTTTTTACTCAGACTTTGTAATGTGATTGACAATAAATTATAAAAGACTAAGGATTGAATCCAAAAGACTGACATCACAACAGGAGTTAAATCAATTTCTGCAAAAAACATAAACAAAATACAATCATTACAAATGCTTGGTTATAGTTATCGAAACTATACGACTTGCGAAGACTAAAGCTTACATTTTGTGTGACGCTTATAATCACTAATTGACGACCGCAAATAGAATGTTTCAAAATCTCCTACTGGGGTTCACACGTACACATTTACAGAAATTTTAGCATCGTTACATTCATTTCATTACTGTCTTATAATAAACAGTTACTTCACATATTTTTTAATTCAGAGTTATTAGAGATGATAAAAGTACTTCAGACTAATCACATACATCCCAAATTATGTGTACAGAAAACAATAGGTTTAAAGCCTTGTCTACCCTTGATTAATTGTCCTCTTACAATAAGATTGTTAATGTGTTCCCTTATTTCATACACTCAGTCATTGTATTTGTAATGCGATTGAAGACGAAATACAAAATGCTATCATGTCGCGATATTTGTGTCTGAATGATTAATGTAAATATATAAAGTACACAAAATATTTCACTTATGATACTTACAACTGTTCCTTCTAGTTTAACATCCTTATCTGTCTACTCTGGGCTAATCTGAGGCGTGGCAATTAGTATCGCTGTATTCCTTTTCAGGATACTATTTCAGTATGCATTTATGGCTTCCTAACACTATAAAAACGGGTACATGGTCTCTCATGGTTTGTATAGCCAGGAGTTACTAACCTAATACATCCTACCGTAAGCACACAAAGCTTTCCTAATCGTCACCCACTTTCATCTTGCCTTATTACTGTTAATACTACTCCAGAGCTAGGTTCACCTCCTTTCCTGACACCATGACTATTAATAGTGGCTAGAGACATAGAACAGTACTCCTGGTTTCTTAAAATCATGCTGATAACTTCAGTTTGGAACACTCAACATCACATTGTTCATAGCCGGAGGTCTGGCATTTTGAATAATTGATGTTTGTTTTGGAAATTCACAAGCAATAGGGTTATGCATTTAACTTCACCTGATGGACATGATGAATCTGAAAAATTCACTTTACGGTTAGTAAGCATGGACGTGCTTGTACAGGAATAGCATTGAGTAGTGCTAGTGCAGAAAATCGTCACTTGATTGTGTTCCAGTAGACTGTCGTAGACTTGCCCTTTGAATGAACAGATCCTTGATAGGAAGGCAGAACTGTGATACCTATCTCTGTCTTTTCATGAAACTCGTTTACGCCACGACTGACTTCAATTTGGAATAAGTGAAGACTGAGTTCTATGAAAAATGTCTAGTTTGCTGATTAAAGCAAAACGCTCATATGTAGTCATTTTGGCGGGTGATCTTTATTCTGAATTAAGGAAGCTTTGACAGCCAGAAAAGTATATTGGTGATATCAATGGAATCCAATGCCGGTGGGCTAACAACGGTGGTCGTCTCCTAAATTTCTGTCCATATAAACATCTCTTGCCGGTCAAAACTGGTTTCAAACATTTCCTCACCTGGCGACCTTCAGCACCAAATCAACTATGGACACAAATAGCCCACATGCCTATAGGCTATCAGTTGGGAGGGGAGACTCCCCCCTGGAAGACCAGCGTAGGCTCCGATCACGCACTAGTCCGTACATATAAAAGCTTACGAATAAACGGGCGTAGAAAACAGACATTTATGAAACGTCTGGGCCTACAACTTAACAAGGACACAAAGTCTTTACTTAGGTAAGGAACAACAAAACGCGTGCTTGAGGTCGACATTAATACCCAAACTGAAAAGTCCTGACATCATATCCATCCAGCTGTATGGACAATGCCGGAAGCCGTTAATAACCTGTAATAATAGGAAATGGATGCCATTGGATTTCCGCTGTTTCATTCGAACTGACAGACCCAAGGAGACTGATTCTAGCGTGCTGAGAAAATGATTAAAAGCTCAAATGCAAAGACTTAAGAGATGTTAAAATCACCAGTGTTTGGTAATGAGAGAAAACTATTCAGAATGATTAGGAAAACGGGCTGTAAAATACCAATGGCAAGTGAAACGACTTCCGAGAAGGACTAAACTTCGATTGTTTTTCTGGATGGATGAATGGTGCGTTGGAGGATGGAAGACTGTGAAGACCTATCCAACTAGCTTGTGGTAACGCGAAATTTGCTGAGGGATGAGATGCAAATACCCTCCAAACAAAACACAACGAAGCAGCAAGGTGTGGTGGAACGATTCGAGAGGTCTTTAAAAATGTTGGCAATCAACTATTGACTAGGGTAATTAAGATATTAGGCAATGTGGGGTCACGTAAGTTAGGTCCGTTGGATCAGTCTAAGTCATCGACTCCCGGTTTATAAAAAGCGAGATAAATCTGTCTGTGATAATCGTCACGGAGTGGGCAGTTTAACTAACTGTCTGAAATTCTACGTTGAGTAATCATGCGTAAACTAAGATGTGGTGCTCTGGGGAAGCGAACCCGTGAAACCTAGCAGACTTCAAACTCGGAGGAGAGAGGGTGTACTGAACTTCTTGAACAGAAATCCACATGTTAGACATGCGATTGCCACTTTTAAATTTAAGATGATGCTCTATGACTGCTCTAGACCGATAGGGAGTGAATTATTTGGCCATGCTGACCGTTTCACTTATTTAGGAAGTTACATCAGCTCTGATGGACTTATCGTTGATAAAATCTTAGTTTGGATATGGAAGGCTCGTATAGCGTTTGTAAGCTTTTCATCTCTAGTGTAGACGTGACACTAGACTGTCAGTCAAAGGAAGTGTGTACTGCTTTAGCCGTTATCTCGTTTGCTTAAATAATGTGTAAGTATTTGCATGGATGTTTGGTTTTGCTGATATCATCTTTAAAAAAAAATCAACTTGGGTATAATTTATGTACTTTTATCTTCAGTCAACAGTTGTTATGTCTATTAGCTCAATTGGCTCGGAGAAACCAAAATTCAAGGTACTATAGTGCAGGGTTACGCCATATGAGTCGTCTGTTTACTGATGCTCCGAAGTCACTACCTACAACTGTCAATGAAATCGAAACCACGAATCTAGACGTGAAGAATGAGTCTCTCGAGGCCACGAAACATTCTCCTGAGAAGACAAAGCCTAATAAGAAACGAAAGAATAGTGAGCTTCACACATCCATATCGGAACAGTCAGAAACTACCAAAACCTCTACAAACCGTAATCCACAAACAGAAACACTTTCTGACTTACAAACAATATTTCGCATAAAAAGTGGATTTACCCTCTTGGATAAGGAAGTGAATGTAAGTTTTTTTCATTGTGCAACATCCGAATTAAATTTGATATGATCAGTTAACATATTTATCTTTATTATTATTACTATTAATTTTGAGTAGCAAGCCACTGAGTTTCTTCTCACTGAACACACTATTATCTTAATCTGTCCATATAGTGTCGCAATCGGAATTGTTGCACAGCAAGATCTTATGTTATGTCTGTCTGTTGTTTGTAAATAAATTAGCATTACGATTTCTTGTCTATAAAGATGATACTAGTTATGAGTAAGTGGTTGAAATTTCGAGAAACGTGTATATTTATGAAATTAGAGTACTGACAATGCTACAGATATTGTTGTCGTAAAGAATAAAAACCAGTGTCTTTGTTTACGTGGTTCAAAATCGTCTTCAGTGACGCAGATATCATCCATTTCTCATTATCTTTCAAATTCTGAATATCATTAATCCTTGACAAATCAACATTTCCGCTTCTGCCTTGAACTCATCTCTATTCATACATTATAAAAATTCTATTTTTCTCATCTTCTGTATGTTCTTTTTTATAGTGTGTATTAATGGTTTAGGCACTCTGTTTCCAACCACTTTGGTCACTAGTTCGAATTGTGCTTCACTCACCAAGGTTAAAGGAAGTTAAGTAGTCGCAATAGGGATCATAACCAACCGAAAGTGGTTGTTGAGTTACATTTCTACTTATTTCCAAAGTGTGATAAGTTGAATTAAGCAAAGAAATATTTACTTTTCAATGAAATCCTTATCTATGCCTCTACTTTACATGTATATATATATATATATATATATATATGATTTTGAGTAATGAGCCAACGAAGGCATTAGTTGATGGAAGTTGGCAGCCGCCTGTTGGAAACGCTTTTGCGTAACATGTGTCCTGTTCGCCACAATCGATGTGACTTCACAACTTCAACGGTTGACACTCTCCTTACCTAACACTTTACGCCTAACTTTCAAACAGAAAGAAGCGTGTTTTGCTCGTAAGATTTAGATATTAACTCTATTACTTGCCATAATGTACCACGTAATACTGGAGATAAATCGCGGATACTTGTGGTCAAAGACAACTAGCCTCTTCATATCTTACACTTTCAACGGCCAGTTCTCCCGTTTAGAAAAAAATATACAGTGAACTGCTGTGCAGGACTCACGTCCTTTGATGGGTAGCTAAATATTACGTCTACTCCAAAGAAGACGTGATTTGACAAACATCGTATGAGTTGTTTTGTATCCGTGCTGAGATTTTGAAAGCAATCGGCCGATTAGGGGTGATGCGAATTTCCAAATAAGTGTAGCAGTCAACACGCTCAACCCCTTCAATCTCTATCATTAAACTAGGAGTTAGCGCGAACGAGTCCCGTAGCATCCTATATTTGAATGCGACGAATCTCATGCTAAACATATTCATATTTTTGCTCATGGTGTTTGGATGACTGGAATTAGTCAACGTCTTCATCTGTAGGAGAGCATCATGGAAATACTCGAGGTTGACGAGACCGTTTCACATGGTTGATGAAGGTCTTCTACGATTAAATTAAACGGAAATGGGTACAGTGGTCACCCTTGACGGACACCTGATTGTCATAACTACAGGTGCAAACTTCCTATAAGCTCTTACGCAGTTATGAGTTCGAGCAGAGGAAATACCTAGATTAGTGTGATATATTTTCGTGGTACTCCCTCAATTGCAGACACTACTAAAGCACTACGGTCAACGAACTTTCAGATCCCCACGCATCATCTAGTGTCTTAATTACTCCAGCTAATAGCTCATTACTACCAACACCAACCTTAAACACCTCTGTGGTCATGTAGTCACGTCAGGCTGCTTTACTTGGTTTTAGATTAGAGATAGCTTTTATAACCTCAGTTACGGTTGGAGGACATCTACATCCTATTCTGGTAGTTGTCTGGTACTCAGGTGAGTTGAATTAATCTCCTAAGTCTTCTGTCCTTCAACGTTACATTCATCTATCTGGAGGAGCAATTAAAGTGCCATCCTTCTTGAACATCCTTCACTTACGATTGGTTTTTCACGCCCTGTTTCCCTAATCAGCCTAAATAATTGCATTTAACATATCTTTCGCTTTTTTTCCCTGCTAGTGTTCATCTTCATCTGCTTGCATTCGACCAACTTTTGCTTCTTGCTATGTTCTCAAATACACTCGTGAAGTGCAGTCTGCTTCTTATCTAATAAACGTTTCTATATTTTCAAACGTCAAGCTTTTGCCCACATTGTCTTGTTGATTATCATATATTTCTTTTTCCTGTCTGTAGAAACTGCTCCCTGTATAGTTCAGTAATAGATTGTTGTATACTTTTGTAAGTACTCGAACGATTGTAAAGTCTCTGATTACGACTTTGTGGATAGGGGAAATATTTTTCACTGAATAGCTTTTTTACTCTCTTCATCACCTTTATACTTCATGATTACAAGTATTTAATGTTTTATTTATATGTTTATTTTCTTAACACAGGCGATCTATGACATTTTTAATCTTAATGCATCTAAACAAAATACTTTGAATAGAAATTGTACACAGATTAATGTGGAAGCTGAAAGTATTGCTAATAATAATGAGTCAAAGCATTCAATGTTAGATGCATCGGAAAGAATGCTTGCATTACTCAATTTAACCAATCAACTTACCATTGATTGCGCAGAGAATCAACGACTACTAATTGAACGTCAGCCTAATCTAATTAAACTTGCTCTAATTTGCCTTAATATGTCATCAGATTTTGTCCAGCAAATCACTTGTTTCACAACAACAACAACAACCAAAGAGAATAACAATTCGTTGGGGTTTGTTATTATTGTTGTTTTTCTTTTCGTTTATTATTACCCCAAGATTTCATACATTCACGTGTGATTCACATGTTTCTTTGCATAACTTTTTTGAGGAGTGATGAAATTTCACTTATTATTGTTAAACCACAAACTTGCTACATTGTGGACTCCAAAAGTCCTCCACACAAAAATAATAACAATATATTCGGGACATAGGGATAAGATAAGTGAGGGAGGTCAAGTAGGCATACTTGTCAAGATTATTCAAAGGATGGTTCATCATTTCATAATTCTTCCAGAAAGAGAAGAAAGAAGAAACTAGTAGCATGTTCGTCACTGATTACGATACTTAGCTATATCTGGTAATGTCTCGAGCCACCGATTCGAACTATCTCTTGAACCCCATTCACTGAGTGATGATATTCCAACGGATGCTAACTTAATACAAATATCCTTCATCCCATGGCTCAAGTCTCATGGCTGGTGAACAGCTAGCGATATGGGAGTCACCGAAGGCGAGGTTCGAAGATGACTCCCACCGAACCCAAACTCATTGCTGGACCTTAGAATTAAACATGATGATATCATCGGCCACAAGCAGTTACTACGTAGAAAGAGATGACTTGATACGTAGAATCGCCTTAAATCCTAAGCTTGGAGAGCCCGGGTGTCACAGGCGCAGAGCAAGATTGCGCATACTGAAGCATTGTAAGTCCGACTTTTAATAGTCAGGCTAACATCGCAATGGCATCAGAGGTGGCCCGAATTAATGTGTGTCACGCTGGCTTTCACACCTCCGTTAGCACTGGAACAGGTACCTAGATATACGAACTTATTGACAACTTGAAGTGGTAAGCCTGCGGAGATGAATGCGGGTACAACCTCCTGCCAATTTAGCGACAATATTTTGCACTTAGATGACGCAAAGCGCTTACCACGCTTATAGACACTGGGTCACCAGCTGATTAAGCACGGTTTGTGCGTCCAGCATGTTATCAGACAGTAAGGAGATATAATCTGCCTACTTGAAGTCGAAGTGTTTCCCCGGATAGCAGATCTACACCACCAAACATGCCCTTCAGACCTGTCTCCAGAATATCAGTTACCAATATTTAAAATGCAGTTGGCAGTAAAATAATACCTCCATGATTGTGACATATATTACGCGGACACTGTCAAAATGACCACGATGCTTCTTACTGATAAAACATTACCACTTCCATACTTTCCCAAACAATCCTGTAAATTCCCTGACGACAGTCCAACCACAATTTTTTGAAAGGGCCGGAAATAAGTTATCTGGACCGGGTGCCTTGTAGCGTTTCAGTACCTGGAGATTTCCTTTCGCATCTCTGGTTTGTTTCGCGGGTCAGGACTAACCGCTCATGTAGCACTGTAGTTGATGATACTGGATACTGAAGCAGTTTGCCCTACTAAACGGCTTTTCATAGTACTCTGCCCAGCGTCCCAGGTATCTTTTCGGGTTGTTGATCAGCGTACTATCTGCCTCAGACCGTCTTACTGATGCCATATTTCTTGCTGCCAGCGGCCTGGATGAACCGAAAGAGCTAACAGTTGCCAAATACAACTACTGATTCCACCCTACACGCACGTTATAACCACTAGGCCTCGCGGTACTTACGTGAGCACTGTTTTATCTTACGTTTGAGAGTTTCGCACATGTTTAGATTGCTATCTGCCGAAATACGCTGACAGGCGTCTGGATATTGCAAAAAACTCGAAGAAACCCTTAGGTTCTTAGTGGAACATTCGTTTAAGCTGCAATTGGCTTTACTCGACATTTTCATAACATCTTGGAGGTGTATCTAATGTTCATCTATACAATTTGTATTGTTATCAGAAAACCTTAAGTTTAACTCACAGAAGTAGCAAGTGCTACCAGTTTACACACACACGCCGTTTATGAACATTATCAAATCCCAAGATGAACCTGGTCTACACTAGAGCATTCTCACAAATCAGATATGCATTCCAGAAGGAGCCTAGACATTCGACCTGTGCAAGTCCTCAGCTATACTACGATATCCCTGTGACGCACATGTTTCAGGTGCTCACTCGATTGAAAGTAAGACTCATCCTTAATTGCATCCTGTTCGCAATCCTTCGGTGCATGGTCAGAGATTATAAATAGACACCGCCTCCCTAGCCGACTGATTATTACTCTGGCATAACTTACGATCAAATCGATTAATGCAGCTTCACCTCTGGTGGTTAGTACGAAACTGACATCAGCTAAACCGGATACTAATACCCACAGGGTCCCTAAATAAGTGCAGGTGGTTCACACCATTTAAACTCACAGACGACGAAAAAATTCGAGGCAGTTCACAGCTATCTTGAGTGTAGCAGACATCTTCACTGAAGCTTTTCCATTTTTCGGCTAAACCGGCCTGTGATGAAACTATACTTGAATTTTCTTGAACTCACTATACTTTTTCAGTCTCGTGTAATCATACTAGTTAAATCTTGTGAGTAGGTCGACGTTCTTCAAAATTTCGAAATCTGTAGTGATAATAACCGTCGACTTTATATAATGCCGTCATGATCTCATGCTGTTTAAAATTCTCTGGACTTTGGAAGAAATTAAGTAGTGGGCAATTCATTACTGCTTATGATATTAGGAAGTTTAGCATGAAGTTTGGCTGCTTCAATATGTCATGAAAGTAGTGTTAACTGATTGTTCAAATGTCCAGAATGCGAAGCGTGTACATCATTCTCCGTTCTCACTTCAATGTGAGGTGATCTTTGAGAACTCTCCATTGATGAAATATCTTGTGATTTCGAACATGATTGGCTATCTTTGGAGGTTTGCTTTTGGTGGTATTCGCCAGAATTGATATTTATCCTCTCATTGACGTGATACTTGAGATTATGATTTGAAGGTTGGAAATGGAATAGGTGAGGTTGTGAATCTGAGTCGATTGGGATAACTAGTACAATTGTTACGTATGCTAATCAGTCGCCTTCCTCGTAGAATAATGCTCGGTGGCATATGATTAGATTGGGAAAGAGTCAGGAGTGGTCAAATAAGAACACGGAGTCAATTCATGAAGTCTTCAACCATTGGTTTAGGACCAGTTACGGAGGTGTTCCGATCACTTAGGTTTGCCTTGCTAGCTCTACCGGTTGATGTGAGTGGTGTTCAAGTGCTGAGATCGATCAGTATGATATGCCATCGTAGAACGGTGTGTAAACTGTCAGGGTGGAGTGCTCAGTGAATGTATGATGTCTTGTTTGTAATTCTTATTGGAAGAAAATACAAATAAAAAAAAACAGGATCTAAGACTTCTAATAAATACGGTTTTTTTTTATTGAAATAGTGTGTGTCATTCACCTCAAAATTCCGACAAAACTCTTTTCTTTTTCTCTTCAACAGTGCAACTGTAGAAAAACAACGCAGCTTCCACATCCTGGGTTCACTTAGACTAGCTGCCTGCAACTTATTTGTTACACTATCGTCGTTGCCGAGTGGTCGACAGTCTTTATTAGATCTGTGTGGATCTGGTCCAATCTTAACTGGATTAGCTAGTTGTTTGTCAGCATCAGTCTCTTCACCTCAAGGGAATACTTCTCCATCTCCTGTATATGCATCAAGTTTGGCAGATGCAGCACGTGGATTAATTGCTCGTGTATCCTCTGGAGGTGGTAATCATTCAGTCCATACAGTAAATAATAATGTTGACCCGTTGAAATGTAATTCTGCTTCGTCTGCAATGTCTGTTGTTTGTGCTGCTAAAGCTGCACAGATATTAGAATTTTTAACTGAGAGTTCAAGATTTTTGGTAAGTGTCAATTGCACATAGACATTTTGTTACTTTTAATAAGAGTAGAAGGTATACATTAGATGTGTATACTAAAAACATTATTTGCAGTTAACGTGAATACTTACTGTACCTCTTCATCTATTCGTATTTCATTGTTACTGTTGATAGAGATGTTCGAAATAGTTCACTACAATGCAGAAATATTGCCTCCTTATCATCTTTGAAAATACAGTTATTCTTGTGTTTGGTTATTCTCTCTCTATCTCTCTCTCCTGTCTAACATAATGATCTTTTGTTTGTATTCTATTCCTGAGTGTATCGTCGAAGTGTAACAGTTTGAAATGATGCAATTTTACAAAAAGAGTGTTACGCTGATTTGTCTTTCTGACGCTGAGGGAAAGTGAGATGGCATAAATTCAGGATATTTAATTGTGTAAACAATTTTATGTCATTAGAATAATGCCCCTACATCAGAAACTAGCTAATTTCTCTTAACTGAATCAATAAAACAGTTTGTGATGATCAAGCTTATCTTAATCTCAATGGTGGAAAACTCAAAATGTTCATTTCCATTTCACCTGATTTCTTTTATTTCAGTATCTGCTAGATAAATCTTTAAATCGAGGTATAGTCACATCGCTGCTTATTGTAATATATTTTCTCACTCCTATTGATATTAGTGTCACTGTAGGGTGCATTTGTTTTTATAATACTTTATTTCGATGTACGTATTTGTTTACGTCGACTGCAGTTGTCTGTTATGCGAAACGGCATTATTTTTTGAGCAATAAGCTGTGGTATGCATTTGTTCTAATATGTGGAACTGTGGCTCATTGCTCTAGCCTGACATATTTGCCTCACAGTCACTGCAAGTTATTATACATGACACGTATTGGTGAGGTAGTGTTAGTATTTAGATGACGTCTCGTGTACAATTTATCGCTCACTATCATATCAGCTCATTTATAAGACTTCCTAAATGGCTTTAGGTAGCCGTTTTAACTCCTGTTTTTGAATGTTATTTCATGTTCATCCGGGACAGCTGTTGCTTCACATCGATTATATCTTGATTCAGTGGATAAATAATCATTGATTAACCTCTGTCCACGTAATAATATCATATTCTAATACTTGTACCTAATGTCACTCTTTTGTGTGATCACATGCAGTTGATTGTACAACAATGGACAAACGTTTTCAAACATTACATAACTTGGCGGTGTCAATCAATCTAGCTCTAGCTAAATTCCTATATTCTGATAACCGGAATGCCCTTGTTCTACTGATTTGACCTCACACTCATCACATTGTATTTAGCCAATTATTTCATTCTTGATAATTAGTTCTATTAGATCTCTAAGGCTGTAACAACAGAAGACAAGAGCCAGTCAACTGATCGTTTATTAAGGAAATCAACACGTATTTATATATTTTCATGTACATATTATAGATTACTGTTAGCAAAATACACAGTCCTCTGATTGGTTGTTTCTCACAGAAGGTTAACCTTGCATCTCTTTGTGACTGTTTCTTGAATGTCAGATCATCTAAATGTTAACTGTATCCGCCTACGCAAAGTCTGTTGTGGTCGGTTTTGAATCAGTCTTTGTTCATATTTTCTCACGACCGTTATTGAGGAAATAAACATTGACGTAAATTACTGTCTACCAATTTGGCTAGTAGACAGCTCTCACCACAAGGCGACTGAGTTTTACTCTCAGTGAGTTGCTTGGTTTATATGCTGCATGAATTCCAGCCTTATTGAGAATCCTAATTAGGGCTTCTGATGTTTCTACCTTACATAATAGTACTATGGACGCTTTGAATTCTTTATTATTCATGTTGTTTTGCTTATTAACCTTATCATTCTTATTTGTCTATGGGTCTTATCCTTTTGAATGAGTACTGGTAGGTGGTTAGTCGTCCAGCAGATATGTTTTCTTTATCGGTTTGATTCCTTGATTTAAATTTTCTGATTTCTAGTGTTAGAGCAGGAGTTTGTTTTCAGAGATGAATATTGCTCACTGTTTTTAATTGTCTTCGTTGCAGATACTTGCTCGATCTTCTGATGATGGATTACAAGGCCTACTGTTAATCATTGAATCAGCTTTAGCTTCATCTTCGCCAACTACTACTAACCAGTCATCTTCAACTACATGTCATTGTTTGGCTACATTGTTAGACAGTCTGGGAAATGCTTGTCAGGATGCAACTTTTCAAAAAGTTGTTCTACAAAGCCGTCAAACTCTATTATTTGGACTTGCTGATTGTCTTTCACGTCATACTCCATTATTGAATGACCCGAAGTAAACTATATCATATTTTAGTAGTTTTTTACGATACTGTACATTATCTTGTGTTAAATAATCTCATCGCTCGGAGCGTACTTTTTAACAGTCAGAAAAGTTGACAGTTTATAGATCTTATAGATTTTGAATATGTCTTCACCTCGTTTTTCTATGTGGCTGTAACCGTACTCTACTAGTGGCTTTCAAATGAAAGCGCATCACCCGCCTGGCACTCATTGCTTAGAATGATTTCCCAGGTGAAACCAAACTGACAATTGATAGCACTGACCAGAGTTATTCCTGTGCTGAGATTTCCAAGTGATGATACCGGAGTATAATCCGCTACACACCCAGATTTTTATTTCACATTCTATTATCACTCATTACATGGATATAAGAGTCTCCCAATCCCAGACTATCTCAAATAATCCCAGTATAGAAAGGAAGAGGTGTGCACAAAGGTGTAAATACACCACAAGTTCTTAGCACGAATGACCTGCAAATATTTATGGAGGTTATAATTATCACCTCTCATATCTAATTCAGCTGGTTAGAGTTTACGAACACACGTGTGTTTGTGTGTTAATGCGAAAAAACATCTAGTTGTAGAATGTAATGTGACCTAACTAAAATATTCATAGCACACACTGTTTGGAGATGAATGTGACTTGAAATGCAAACTAGGTCATTTTCAGGGGTCATCAGAATGGGTTTCTGAAACAGAAATCGCTAATGTCAGTATCGAAATTTATTTGATGGTGTGAATTGGAATTTATGCAGCGTGTTTGTTGAAGAAGAAGATTGGTAACACCAGACAACTATTTAGACTTATCAGGGAAACAGGTGGTGAAAGGCAAGCGATAAGTGAAACAATCTTTGAGAAAAATGGCACCATAATTAGCTCCCAGGATAGACAACCGGAACGCTGTAAAGAACACTTTGAGGAGAAGTTTAATTGACCAACAGCGACATTAAACTTACAGAACGTCTAACACCTCCCTGAATGGGGTATAGACACAGGTCCTCCGTCCCTAACTGAGGTTACTAATGCTGTCACTAGTCTGAAACGACGCAAAGCAGCAGGACCTAATGGAATGACTCCGGAGGTGTTTAAGGATGGTGGAGACAATTTACTGTCTGAGTTAACTGAGGTACTAAGAAGCGTCTGGGAATCAGAGGAAGTCACGTCGGGTTGGTGTAAGTCATTGATTATCTCGATATACAAGAAGGGAGACAAGTCTTCCTGTGATAAACACAGGGGGATTAGATTGACTAATATGGTGGTATCTAAATTTCTAGGCTCAATAATCATGCGTAGACTAAGTGGTCCATGGGAGGAACAAACACGAGAGAACCAGTCAGGCTATGGACAGGAAGAGGGTGTATTGATCATATCTTCACGCTTCGACAGATTCTGCAACGTAGGCAGACTTACCGACGTCCAACAATTGTTATATTTCTTGACCTAAAGGCGGCATTCGATTCCATCCACTGAGAGGTACTATGGCAATGTTTGGCTGTAAAAGGAATGACGAGAAAATACATTGCACTGATCAAGGCTCTCTACTCGAACTAATGCAGTTAGCCAGGTGAGGGCTTACGGCGAACTGAACTGGTGACATCCAGCGGTGTCCTTCAGGGATGTACACTGTCCCAATTTTTGTTTAGTTTCATCATAGATGTACTGATAGAATTAACCCTAAGTGACGTCAGTGACTCAAGGATTGACTTGTTACCATCAGGGAATAATCTCGTTGACTTAGAATATGCAGATGATGTTGTCCTCCCACCTGGGTGAAGAAGCTGACGAAATACAGAATCTTCTGAAGACATTGACAGGCAGCTATTTTCGAATGATTGGCATACGATTCGCTCGTGCTGTCAAATGTAAGATGATGCTACAGGACTGGACTAGTCTGGATTACATTGACTCCCAGCTTAGAAATAGGGAGTGAATTGGTAGAGCACGTTGACAACTTCACTTATTCGGGAAGTCACATCAACCAATGTCAGTGGGTTGATCGTTGACGAAATCGCAGCATGGCGGAAAGAGAAGGCTCGTCCCTCATATGCCAGTTTACGTCATCTCTGGCTTAGTAGACGTGATATCCGGCTGGCTGTCGACAGGGGGACGTGTGTACTGCTCAGGAGTCCGCTCCGTGCTCCTTCATGGATGTGAGACCTGGTCATTGAGAGTGGAAGACATGGAAAGGCTAGCTAGCTGTCTTTGATCATAGGTGCCTGCGTTCTATCTCCTCCGTGTGAAGTGGCATAATAAGGTGAGCAGTATTGAGGTTAGTTAGGCCTCTGTCGAGTGCTAGGTAAGGAGGGAAATCAATAGACGAGACTGTGAAGTTACATCGATTGAGGTGGTTAGGACATGTGTTACGCATGTCTAGGCATCGCCTCCCTCGACAATGGGCAATGTCAGTCAGCTGACATAGGATGGATCAGGTTGGGAAAGATCTAGTGACGATCAAACCAAAACATGGCTTCGTCAGTCAATGAAATCCACAACAGTTAGTTCAAGCCAGTCACGTTGGGAGATGTAGACTTCCTGGTTGGGGTCCTAGGGCTAGTTCTTTGTTGAAAACAGTCAGTCAGTCAATGTTCTTGTAGTTAACCTACAGCCTAATGAACACCATAGTCGTTTCAATTGAATGGGTTATGTGATTGCAGATCTTGGTCGAACAAGAAAGATATGTGTTTGAATTAGTTGTGTTCTCTGATTTGGTTGACCTAATTGCGAAGCTTTCATCGTCCTTGTAAACGACATCTTCAGCGCAGGCTTTAGTATACTCAGATGTTGTATAGAATGACAATGGAAGCTTCACAGTTAAATCTCAAGAACCCGGCTCAGAGAACACAGCTAATTCAATATCATCCACCTGAGCTACAAATCTTCATCAATATTTCAAGAGATACGTGAGTTATGGTGCCTCGCTGAATTGCACACGACAAACAGTATTTGCAGGTAGAAACTTTAGGTAATACAAGCTCGGAATAGATCGTGATGATAATTTTAATATCACATTTATTTGTTGATTGTGTTGTCTGATAACATCTTCAACTTAACATCCTATAATTGCTTTGTGTCCATGCTTATTGCATTTTAGCCTGAAGTGACGTAGTGCTTTCCTAGTTCATATGTATGTGAAATTCGTCTTTCTATTTATTCCTGTGTTTTCTCAGATGCTAGAGCTTAAGTCTAGAAGTTTTTCATTGTTTTATTCATCCAAAAACAGAATTTTCGCTAGCTAACTTACATAATTATTTTATTTATTTATATTTAGTCACGCTCATTTAATTGGTTCAATCTGTCGATTACTGCATAACATTTATGTGGGACAATTAGATCGGTCAGTTAAAAACACTAATAACAACAATAATCGCAGAAATATCAATGGTCTAAGCATAAATGCTAATGATACAGATGAAGATTGTTCAACCACCTTCTGTTTAACATCAAGCAAATTAATTAATTCTATACTGAATGGGATCGGTGCTATTCTAGATCAAATTGGTCATGGTCCAGAATTAAGAGCTATTGCTATCGCGTTAGCTGGACGACTTCTACCATTATGCTCCCATGATAATAAACAGGTAAGTGTGAGAATGGGATTGGAATTCCTTCCCACTGAATTGTTCTCCTGCTCTGTTTGTTTCCTCTCTCTCTCTCTGTTGCCGTGTACAAAAAGTGATGCTGATTTCTAGTTGGCAACATTGTTCTGGTTGGGATGTGGCTCTCTGGTTTTCAGCCAGTGGGTCCCCAGTTTTCATCCCGCTTGGGCTACAGCACTTCCTCACTAAGCACGGTTCACAACCCGATATGGAGAAGATTTATTCCCTGTAGTTGAGTTCTAACAACAGCAGTACTATTAGAACAATAATTGTATGCATATAGTTAAATATGGTATAAACAATCGGTCCTTTTGTTAAAATTGGATGCTGTTATTAAAAGACAGTTGATCCGAAAAAGTTTGATATATTCGAGCAGTTTATTTCAAACAATCCGACCACGTTCACTTATAAGATTCCTAGGGAACGAGAAGACAGGCGTACGTTAGACCTACAAGAAGACTCTAGAACATTTTAACTTTGTACACAAACTTCACAGAAGCTTGATGGTCTACAGGCGAATACCAATCACTTAGAAGGAGACGCTGGTGGCGAAGACAGGATTTAAAGTGAACATCGAGAAGATGTAGGTGATGAAGATACCTAACCTCCGCCACCAACAACTAGCACCAATCACTGTCAAAGGGAGAAATCTAAGGGAATTCACTTGTTTCACTTATCTAGGCAACAGTGTTTCAACTATATGCTGAAGAATTCAAAGGTAGAATCGGAAAAGCGGACCAAACCTTCATTACTATTAAATCAATGTGGAAATTTCCTACATATGTGATATTGGTTGGCGGTAAAGCCGTGTATTGCGAATTGCCATAAGTCATTGGATTCCATTCCTGTAGCTGAATAACCAAAGGATATTTAATTAAATGTTCATCCACCGTCACCCGCAAATCACGATCACTCCTCTCTAGATGTATATGTCTGTGTATGCCGGCATACATGTAAATTGGTTTACGACGATGCGATGTAATAAATTCTTCAGAGTATTATGTTCACTTTTAAATTCTATACCATCCAGCTTAATCAAGCGGATCATTTGTTGTTTACCACTGGCTTACTTATTTCTTGTGTATACATATGAAGATTTGCTTATTAATTGCTTAACTGTACTAGAGATAATTTACTTCTCTTAGTCTCACTCATTCAATTTGTATTTGCTTGTTTCTCCTTTGTTACCCGTCCTGTTCAGCTATCCTCTTGGTTCGGAGAACGTACTGCATCAGAGTCAAGTGTTCACGTGCCATTAAGTGATTTGCCGTCACGTACACGGTTGCTTATTGCTGTTTTAGACAGTTGGTAGGTGTAATGTTTGCAATATTTGGTTACGATTCATTGGATCTCTTAAACTTTTTTTTTCTGACCAGTCACTGACTACATGATGCAATCGCCTGTAGTTACAAGGAGGTGTTGTGATCAGTGGGCTCCACCAGACCGGTTGTGAGGTCGAATACTGGCTAATGATATTGGTTGGTGGTAAGGCCGTATATTGCGAATTGCCATAAGGTAGAATTAGTGGGCTGGTCATTGGATTCCATCCCTGTAGCTGAATAACCAATGGGCCCGCCTCGTTAAATGGAGGCTCCTGATTCTTCCCACTATGTAGCCGCAAACTAGCATGTGACATCTGTCCGATACTCCCTGATTTTCAGTGGTCCTATGACTTATTGGTTCGTGACCTAACTTGAAATCAATCGTATCTCTGAAAGTTAACACTAGTGAATATGGTATGTTAAGCGTATGCTTCCAGGTTATTATGAAAATTATCGGACTGATTGTTTTCGCCTTCTCCAAAATTGACAAACTAAGGTTGAATCGAATAATTCTCCATGAAGGAGATTTATTCTGCTACTACTACTAATTCTACTACTGATTCATTTAAATCAACTGGTTATTTCAGTTTAGGTAACATCGAAATAAGTCTATAACCCCGGAATCTTAAAAGCAATTTGTTTTGAAAAGAATACGTCTTTTGAAATGTACGTCCCAAAGGTATTATGTGCGGAGTTTAAGTGTAGTGAGATGGTTACCCATTTGCATTGCCTATATGGCGTCGATTAGCAGAAGAATCCACGATGCACGTTTCCTTCTAGTGAGAACTAGTTAGATGGATTTATATGCATCTTCAGTGAATGGTGGCGTCCCCATGGAGACTTGAAAATAACTGTTGTAAATAAATAAAATGTAGTGTATTCTTATTCACTGTCTGTTAACACTATTCATCTTACTATCAGTCACATAGTAAACACTGCACGCATCATAATTGTCACTGTGTTTCTTTTGAACAGCTCAGCAGATTCCTATTGGAAGAATAATCTTCAGAAAGTATCAACGAATAATCAAAATGCAAGTGAAAATACTTCAGAATCCAAAGGAGCAAATAGTATATCATCACATTTAATCAATGGATGTATACGCTGTTTAGCTGCTGGTACCAGTCATTCAATATCTTTACGTTATATCATTGGAGATGATAGACGCCGTGTAAGACGTTTAGCGCGATTTATTCGTGTAAGGCTACCTTGTACTGCAACTGACAATAATAGGAAATCAAATACTCTCCGACCACCACCGCGAGATGAACCATTAGCAGGAAATGTTTGTCTTATTTTACAGCATTGTGCCACAGATACACCGTTGGCTGAACATCTTCAAGGCACTTCAGTAATTTATGATTTATTATCACTAATACAGGTAAGTTTATCGGATAGTTGAAAATAATAACAATGATGACGAAAAGCCAATAATAATAATGATAATACCAACAGTAATAATAGCGGTAACACACTGCTTAATGAGAATGAAATATGTGTGACAAGTGTAAATTCCTTCTGGAGTTTCAACCGAACAGGAACGTACTGTTTTGCAAGATAAAATAATTTCACTCAGTTTCATCTTATCATCGACTGTTGTTTACAAACAGAACTCATGAGCAGCTTTAGTTAAAATCTATCTAAACATCGCGGAGAATTGGGAATGAGCGAGTTTTAAGAGTAGGAAGCTTCTATAGGCATTTTTGTCAATGATTGACTATGAATATAAGCGTTATATATAGGGGAATATTGTATTCATACTAATGATTGGAATGATTTCTATGTTAGAAAAAGATGATTAGCAAACTGTCCCCTTGATTCGTAATTGTCGGTACTCATCCAGCAACTAGGTGTATCTTAGTCTTGTAACCGATGTTGAATCGTACAACCTAGGCCCTATAGGATCGATTTAACTTCACGATTCGGTCTCTAGCATATGCCCAGTCTTTATGTAGAAACAAAAAAAATGCACTTCAGTGCGTACATACAGTGCAGCAGACTCGTATCAATCAGCTCATTGGGTATACAGTACAAACACATCAAACCAATGCACAGTACACGTCCCCTTTGCTCAGTAGCCGAATTTCATATCTCCTTACAACTTTTCATTTACGTATATTGGTTGAACGTATAAACCATAAATATATATCCAATCAGTACATAAATCTACTGTCTTTTTACCATTTCTTTGTTCCAGGAAAGTAAAAGATTAGACACCAAAAGAAACGCAGCAATTTTAGTGGGTAAATTGGCTCAATCAAGTCAAGTACACCGTGATGAATTATCACGTTTAGATGGTTACAGTGTTCTGACACCTTTCAATTCATGGACTGCAACATTGGAACGTTGTTAGACAAATACGCACTTGTACTCTAGATGTCTTTCACATTACAAACGAAGCCGTTTCAAGGGCACTTTCTCTTCCCGGTCAATTAAACAAACAAGCAACAATGTGTGACAGTATTTTTCAAGCCTCTTTGTTCGTTTATAGTTTCATTTTTGAATGCTGTTCAAAACATTGTCTCCACACGGAGAAGCCTTGTTTTCTTTTGAACTTTATTGTACACTTTTAAAATGTTGGTTTCTAAGACAAACTTATGTGATACGTTGTAGTTAATCATTTATATGTTCAAATGTAAACATTACAAAATCGAATGTAATACACACGCACACAGACACTAATGCACAACATACAGCTGTCTTGGCATATTAAGATGGAAAATAAAACTGCGAACGTTGGATTTCGAAAAGTGTTTTTATTTTTTGAGAAAAATGAAGGAGACCGGTGGTCTCATTGAAATCACTGAATTTAAAAACATTATTTTCACCGTAACAATTCGAAATATTCTCTGAGGAATCATTGAAGTAAATAGTGAAAGACTGTTCATTGCTACATACACATAATCATAGAGTTAGTTGTTTTTCGTCACATAAAAACAAACCACAGCATCAATTCTCATCGAATCGTATATACATAATATTATTTTTAGACTGAAAGCCAAGTTTCTCATAAAATCCGACTTTATCATCACTGCAGTCGAGAGAGATTTTATAACAGCCCATGTGTTTTCCTATACGAATAAGGATATCGATAAGCCTGAAATGGTGTGTAACAGGGAAGCAACATATTATTAAACAAAAAATCTGCAAATGGCAGAACAGATAAGATATACAATATGAGAAGTGACAGGTAATAATTAATTACCTCAGTATAATTTATCCTCTCTGTGACGGAGGGACATCAACTCTTAGGACCAAGGGCTATAAAGGAAATTTACCAAAATTTTTCTGGTTGGATACTGTACTTTCATTCCCTTTCAGTCATAATCGTATATGTGCCTTGGTCTAGTGCGTGATCACGGTCTACAGTGGTTATCCAGATAGAACTTATACATACGTAGTCTATTTGTTCCCGTGGTTAGTTTGATTTTTGAGGTTGCCAGGTGAAGTAATGTCTAGTTTTTTAGTTGGTTCTGACCAACAGAGATAGGTATGTGAACAGAATTGAACAATGCGATCAACTTTGTCAGTTCGTAGGAACAGAGTTCCATATATGCCACCAGTATGCTTTCCTGAATAGCACTGCTTCCCTACTTCAGCACTAAGATCAACTGCTGAAGGCACTATATGGAAGCAGTTTTTTATAGAACTCAAGTTTGCTGTGGTGTGGGCGGATACTGTGAACAGACATTGACGGGTATCGCAACCTTGTCCTCTGCTCTCGGACCTGTCCAGCCAAACAACACAAGTACGACTGTCCACTGTAACCCGACAAAGTGGGGATTTTTCTGTCTTGATGCTCAAAGCTATTACTACACTAGGCAGTCCATGCCAATTAGCCGTAGAATTTCCTAACACCTATGAAGTGAATTTCCCGGATTCATGTTGACTAGCTTGAGTTAAGTCTTGCATTCGCGTCTCTGAAACAAACACTACATACGTGTACAGCTAGAGATGCAACACTTCCGGCTATTATGGCTTGTTGTACGATTCGGAAAAGCATCCTTATAGAGAATGCTACATTATATAGTTTGTAGTATGTTTTTGAGAGGTTATGAAATGTTTTGTGTGTCATATCTAATAATGGTCACAGAGATCTGAGAAGTTGGCCAACCCACTTGTGTAATAGTAAAAACGGTGACGGGAAAGCGAGCTGATATAGGTGGATGATAATGATTTTAGCTTCGTGCACTTATGAAAGAATGTGCCTGGCTATTCTTTCCCCGCGGGTAGCTATCGACGATTATAGAGAAAATCTGTTGCTGCCTCTCCGGATTGCTTTTGTCACTTTTAAAATGAGCTACTGTACATGGAACACTATGTCGCGCACGGAACCACTTGTTCAAACTATTCCATTTAGTCGTAAGCTAGTTACCTCCAGCTAGACCACCCCACCATCAAGTGGGAACAATACTTAAAGTGGAGTGGAGCTGTGTAGGACAGTTGCTCGAGACGCCTTGAATGCTTAACTCCTAGGCATGATAGTCAGGCCCTATCTCAAATATATAAAACGCACGTTTGAATATGGGCTGCTGAAGTGTGAACACAGGAAGTGACCATGGTAGACAACGGGTTCAGTCTTATCAGTCACGAAATCTACGGTAGTATAGCGTACTTGGTACCTTCAATGAAAAATAAATGTTTAAAGACATTAGGAATTCAAGGAACAGCTTCACTCTCAAACCAAAAGAAAAGAAGACATACTGTGAATCAGAGCGGTGAAAACGAAGTCCGAAATTTAAAAGTGTACTATTACGACAAAAAAGTGCACGTGTGAGGAACATTACCTATTGCTTAGAATTAAACACATAAGACCACAAGAATCTAATTGTATCAGATCGACTCCACAAATGAACTCAAACATCACAAGCCTTACCCGTTGTTTACCACTCCGGTTCCACATGAAGGCATAGCCCGCAACATCACACAGCCGTCTCCTCAATGTATATCTGATCTATCTGCATTCCCTTTGGCGTACTTGTTGAACAATAAAATCTTGATTGGTTGTTTTTGACTGGATACTAGTTACTAACTAGTGAAATGTGTCTAGTCCTATCCTTGGTGTCTGACTGAATTATATCAGACAAGTTTACAATGTGACCAACAAGCAAGGTAGCTCATCCGAATAGCTTAATAGGAACGTATCTGACTGCAGCACTAGGTGACGTGGGTTCGGATCTCATAAGTGATATGAGTCCATTCAAGGTTGCGGATACACCCTCCAGACGACTGCCGAATAGCACGAAAATTAAGTCCAAGGCTTACTGTTCACTGCTTCCAACCATCTCATACCAACAATTATTGGTTCATTCATTTACAGAGTCTCTTGTTACTAACTCTTTCTGACCATCTGATTTTCAGCATGGAGTCAAAGCAGCTTTTGATAAATGTATGCGTCCGGTTACAAACGCTTTCCGCAACGCGCCGAATTTCCGACTTGTATAGACGGTGTAAATGACATAATATTAGTGTTAACAATCACAAATTTTGGCATTTATACTGCGTGCTGAAGATTTCCAAAATGGTTCAAAAACGATGAAGATCTCTGTACATTCAAGAACCCCTATACACTCATCAATTCATAGATGAAACGAAGCTTCTTAGATAAGTGAAGGAAGTGACCTCGTCCAAATTTCTCCCATTGATAGTTATTGGTGCCTGTTGTTGTCGGTTGACGATCTTCATCACCTCCGTCGTCTCTGTGTCCACCTTCAATCCTGTCTTCTCTGCTTCTTCAGCCAGTTTGTTGGTTTTCGCCTGTAAGTCTTTGGGTTCGGGTGACATTAGACATAAATCATCCCCTAAGTCCAGATCTTCCACAGTCTTCTTATCGGTCCAGAGTATTCCTGGCTTCTTGCTACCCACAGCCTGTCTGACTGACTGGCTGTTTTCAACATAGAACTTTGCACCGATGTGTAACAGTTCAAGTCGCCACACTCCATGTAGCACACGAAGCAAGAGAAGAAAGAAGACGAAATGAAAAATAGAGACAGTAGACAGGGATATGAGACAAAAGGAATAGTGTTAACGAAGAACAATATAGTTTCATTGGATATTATAAGCCACAAGGAGTGGATGCATCTCCGCCAGTCATTGAGAACGATTTCGAGGCATATCACCAATTGTCTCCAGCCTTCATTGGTTCCTACTAGCCCTAGGACCCCAACCAGGAAGTCTACATCTCCCAACGTGACTGGCTGGAACTAACTGTTGTGGATTTCATTGACTGACGAAGCCATGTTTTGGTTTGATCGTCACTAGATCTTTCCCAACCTGATCCATCCTATGTCAGCTGACTGACATTGCCCATTGTCGAGGGAGGCGATGCCTAGGCATGCGTAACACATGTCCTAACCACCTCAATCGATGTAACTTCACAGTCTCGTCTATTGATTTCCCTCCTTACCTAGCACTCGACAGAGGCCTAACTAACCTCAATACTGCTCACCTTATTATGCCACTTCACACGGAGGAGATAGAACGCAGGCACCTATGATCAAAGACAGCTAGCTAGCTAGCAAGCTAGCTAGCCTTTCCATGTCTTCCACTCTCAATGACCAGGTCTCACAGCCATGAAGGAGCACGGAGCGGACTCCTGAGCAGTACACACGTCCCCCTGTCGACAGCCAGCCGGATATCACGTCTACTAAGCCAGAGATGACGTGAACTGGAATATGCGGGACGGGCCTTCTATATCTAACATGCTACGATTTCGTCAACGATCAACCCACTGGCATTGGTTGATGTAACTTCCCGAATAAGTGAAGTTGTCAACGTGCTCTACCAATTCACTCCCTACTTCTCAGCTAGGAGTCAATGTAATCCAGACTAGTCCAGTCCTGTAGCATCATCTTACATTTGACAGCACGAGCGAGTCGCTGCCTGTCAAGGTGATCAGAAGATTCTCCATTTTGTCAGCGTCTTCACCCAGGTTGGAGGACAACATCATCTGCATATTCTAAGTCAACGAGATTATTCCCTGATGGTAACGAGTCAATCCTTGAGTCACTGACGTCACTTAGGGTTAATTCTATCAGTACATCTATGATGAAATTAAACAGAAATGGGGATAGTGGGAATCCCTGACGGACACCACTAATTGTCACCAGTTCAGACGACAACTCGCCGTAAGCTCTCACCTGGCTGACTGCATTAGTTCGAGTAGAGAGCCTTGATCAGCCTCGTCATTCCCCTCACAGCCAAACATCGCCAGAGTACCTCCGGGTCGACTGAATCGAATGCCACCTTCAGGTGAAGAAATATAACGATTGTTGGGCGTCGGTAATTATGCCGAAATGAAAAGATGCAGAATTCAAGTATTGGGGATATGTGAAGGCAGATGGAAAGGGAATGGACTCAACAAATTGTCAACGGGTGAGTCAGTGATCTACTCCGCTCACCCAGAGGATAACCTCATGCACACCGAGGGCGTGACTATCATGATGTCACCAACGGCAGCGAAGGCCCTGATGCAATCGGAGGCGATCTCGCCAAGGATAATGACTGCCAGATTCAACTCAAAAGGAAGGAAAGTGTCAATTATAAAATGCTATGCACCGAAAAACAACGAAGACCTCGAAAAGAAAGAAGAATTCTACAGAAAACTACAGGCAACAATGGAAAATATTCAAGTCGGAAACATTGAAATACTAATAGGAGACATGAACGCCAAACTGGGATCAGACAAAAAAAGGAAGGAAACACACCATGGGTCGCGAGGCCCTCGGTGAAATGAATGAAAACGGAGAACTCTTCGCCGACTTCTGCGCCTTCAATGAACTAGTGATTGGTGGCAGCGTATAAAAACACAAGGAT